ATGGCAATATTTTCATCTTCACAAACAAACTTCCTTACTTTTGAAATCATCTCTTAAAAGGATTTCATGGAGACATTTGAAAAGATATATATACTAAAAATGGATGGATGTATTACATCATTTTTGTTGTTCAAGAAGGTAACATGCTCTTTTTCAAATTTTATTCTTTGAAAAAGTAATGTATATTAGTATATATGCAGGAAATGGGTTGCTAAAGCAATGTTTGTTGCTACTTTTTTTTTGTTATCAAAATAAAAAGGAGACAAAGGTGTGCCAGTTTAAAATTCGAAAACAGATTATCGGTTGAATTATCGATAGCTAAATTTTAAGATGAAGAAAGTATGCATGAAGCATATGATTAATAACATAGAGAAGAAGATGAGAGGAAAATTACTTATCTTTAATAGATGACAAGGAATATGCATGAATATACAGATTTAATTTCTTGACATAAAAGTCGGGTATATGCCATTTGACCTTCCTTCCGTCATTGATTACACGTTCAAATAAAGTAGAAGCCTTTTATTAATATAATATAAAATTTATAAAATTAATTTTTCAAAAAAAAAAAAAAAAAAAAAAAAACTTATAATATGTTATAATCAACGAAAAAATAGCGAAAAATGAAATTTTAATTAACGCGATATTTACAGCAGTGAGTCAGCAGAGGAAATGAATTTGAAGATGAAAACCGATTCAAATGGAAGAACGAATGAATTAAATAATCTGAATTTGAATATGCTTCTGCCTTATCTTGTTAAAACAAGACACATGTTAATATGTTATATGTATGAAGATTGAAGAGACGAAATTCAATGCCTGTCCATATTTGTAGACTTTTTCTTGAATAATTCAACACGAAAAGAAAAGGATCTATTCTTCGCATTGGTGGTTCAAAATTTAGCACAAACGCCAATAACCCAATAGCCAATACGATTCAGTATTGGGGACGGACGATTCAAAATATATGTCAGATGAGACTCCGGCAGAGAATTGAAATTTAACCAAAACGACAACGAACAAACCACCGTGGTATTCAACTTCAGAATTAAAAAAAAAAAAAAACAAAAAATGAATGAAGAAACCTAACCTGGAGACAAAGTTCGCAATTAGTGTTTCCCTTCTCATCACACCATCTCTGTACGCAATCTCTGTGAGCAAACTGATGTGATATGATGATCAATCAAAATTCAAAACACAGATTAAATTCGAAACTATACAATATAATATAATATAATACCTAGTAATGAAAGAGAAAAATGATAATCAAGACAGAGGAGTAAGAATACCTTGATAGTTCCAGAACAAGAACATGGAGTTTCCAAGGTTTTACAACTTTCGAACTCTCCTTCGTGACAAATTCTGCAGTATATGATCTCATATACTGAATATAATAATTCTTCTTCAACATTAACCCTCAATTCTGCCATCCTCTCTCACAAAATTCAAAATTCCTTTTCTCTTCTCTCTCTCTAGTCGTTGGCTCTGTTTCGTGGAGAATTTTTGGGCTTTAAAGGGATGAAACCAGATACGAAATTCCAACAATACCCTTCCTTGTTTATACGCTACTACTACTCGCCCCCCCGCCTCTCCCCCGCCCCACCTAGCCTAAATTAAAACTTTTTGTAAACATAAACATATGATATTTTTCTATAAAATACTGATATTTTATTTTAAATTGGAATTATTTAACAAAAATGATATAATAACCTACAAAACAATATTCTATCTTGAAATAAAATAATGACATTTGTTTGAACGATGTTAGACTGAACGTTTTTATATATTTGTTTTGTTTGAGTTAATTATCAAAAGTTTACGGATGATTAATCATCATATTAATATTGTTTTACTTTAAATATTTTGTTTCACCCTAACATTAGGGAAATTGAGTAAACCAACCCTTATAAACGAGTTTGTTAATAATAATAACCATTTTTTTTAAGAAAAATGTCCACTTTTTCCGGAATAGTGTATTCTGGAGCACGTAAGAACATTTTGGACTTGGGTCGGTCAACGTATTTCAGAATACGATATTCTGGAGCTTATTTTCATTCCGTAGTTGTAGGTGGTTGGTAGGAATTAGGTCTGGAATCTGATATCCTATACATTTTGTATTGAAAAAGTGTATACCGGACTATACTCCGGAATGACCGTACATTCCAGAGTTCTGTTCTGGAGAACTAAAAGTAGGGTATTTGTGTGTTTTTGTTCCATATATTTCCATATATGCAATATATTTGTGTTTTTGATACCTTCATTACACGTTCTGGAATGAGTACCTATACGAGTTTTTTCGAGTGTCAGTTTCTAGTGGAGGGAAATGACAGTGTATTAAAGAATCTATGCAATATATTCGTCCAGACTACACATGCTTTGATGTAGATATAAGCAATGATATCAACTTTGTTGGGTTAATTATGTTGGTTGCTTCCAAGTCCATGTTACACACTAACCAAATACGTCTATCTTTTCAATGTCCTGGATCAAATATAGTTATGTAGATTCTAGACGATAGTGATGTCATATATTTTCTTAGTTTTGTTAGCAGTATGCCTCCCAACACAGTATAACTTTTTTGTGGTTAGTAACGTTATGAGAAGTGGTATTCATCGATTTGCCGGGGAAAATCGTTATGGTGGAAATGGGTCTTCTGGTGATGGAAGTAACCAAATGTGTAATTTATTACCTATGACAACCAACCTTGTTCCTTCTTATAATGACTCTATAGATGGGGATGATTATATGAATAAAGGTAAGGTTGTCGCTGATGCTTCTCCTATAGTTGATGTTGATGAATCTGCAAATGATGATGCAGAAATAATGATGTTGGTTGATGATGGTAATATAATTCCATATGGAGTTCCAGTTGAACATTTTTAAAGTTGCACTAAATTTGATGGGGAAGATACTGAAGGTGAAGAGGAAGATACTGATCCCTTACAACCCCAAAAATCACAACAGGAAAAGTTTCCTTTTTAATTTTACGATTCTAAAGAAACACAAACCACCCATTGGGGTAGCCTGAACCTTTACCATTGCCCGAACTAGCTCAACAAAAACGTAAAGGTGCCACACCTCACAATTATACTTCCCATGTGAAGTTATTCAAACTCTTTAAGAGTAAAGAACAACTTAAGCTTAACTTAAGATTAAAAAGTGTTACTGAAGGCTTCCAATATAAAGTGAAAAACTCCATAAAAGACAGCTTTGAAGCTGTTTGCTTTATGGATAATTGTGACTGGCGGATATGGGCAACAAAACATAATACTATTGATACATTTCAAGTGGTTAAACTATCGGAGAAAAACACTTTCTCAAACACACAACTACATCCCCATCACCAACAAGCCAACAAAAAGGTGTTGGGTCAATTGTTGAATGACATATTAGCTGATAATATAGGTAATATGTTATGGGGGAACCAAATACAAACAACTTTAAATGAATGTCTTAGTGTACATATTTCATATTGGCAAGCATGGAGTGCTAAAATATATGCTCTAAATTTGTTGAGAGGGATCCTTGAAGAAAGATTTCAAAGACTACCTTTATATTGTTACAACTTGGAGAAGAAGAATCCAGGAACGATTACACATATAAAGACAAGTTATGACAACAAATTTGAATATTTTTTCATGGCTATCAGCTGCACGATAATATTTCTTATATAATAACTTCTTTATATTTAATGTTGTTACATGTGGGTTCACTTTAATGATATCATACTAAATGATTTTTAGTTTCAAGCATTTCAAACAAGTTTGCATCCTATTATTATCATTAACGGAGCACAACTTAAAGGGAAATACTTGGGCACTATGTTCCTAGCAGTAGGCATGTATGGTAATAACCAAATCCTTCCTACTGCATTTGGTTTTAGGAAAACTGAAAGTGGGGAGTCATGGATATGTTTTTTATCAAGACTCAAAGAATGTATTGGTGACATGTCGTCTTTGGCTATCATACCAGATAGAGCCAATTCAATTTAAATGACTATTCAAGCTGTGTTCCTGAATGCATATCACGGACTCTGCTGTCGCCATTTGTTGATGAATATGAGAGAAAATATCAGTAAGCAAGAGAGAATATGAGAAAAAATATCGACAAAGAAGAGAGAACAAAGATTATGTTTTGGGGGGCTGTAAAAGCTTCAGTCTGATTTCAAATAAAGCTTGGATAGGCTACGCCGCACACCAAATGAAAACTGTCATACATGGTTAGTGTAACACCGCAAATTTCCAAACAATTTTTCGCATTTATAAAAAAACATAATTCATTTGTAAATCATAAAAACATCATTGTTTGAAACTCAATTTATAACATATAAAAATATCCCAAGATCTCGTATCATAAAAATCCTGTGTGTGTACTGATCAAGCCGGCGCCTTCCCGCGATCCTCACTAGTACCTGAAACACATAACACAAAACACTGTAAGCACAAAGCTTAGTGAGTTCCACAAAATACCACATATAACACAAATTAGCCACTCGAAACTATAACTCTGTGGGTCCGTGCACCCAAACTCTGTGAACCCTCAGGTTCTAACTCTGCAAGCATGCACAACATAAATCACATAGAAGAATGCAGTACAACAAACAATATATATACAACACTATATCACATAACTCTATTTACCTACTCAAGGTAAAGTATAGTGAGAAGACTCACCTCGCGTGTCTCGGTAACTCGTAAATTCCTAAAATCACTAGTGCTCGATCTCCCGAGCTATAGTCCTCCTATAAGACAATACATCTCTAATTAACACTTTCCCAACTAAGGTTGACTAACCCTATCAAGTCAACACCGGTCAACTCTGGTCAATGGTTAACGGTCAACCCCAACTCGCCGAGTCCCTACGAGGACCCAATTCCTCTGAGTCCCTTACGACTCACCGAGTCACTCACCCAACTCGGTTACTCAACCCCTGGTTTGAAATCTATGAACAACCTGTTGGATTAGTGTCTAAGTCCATAACTATTTTGGTATGTACTTGACCCGATGGTGCATGGTCCTTTTGGGTTGCCTTCACCAAAGCAACTTGATTGGAGAAATAAATAGAGAGAGAGATTATTATGATTTATTAATATGTTATAAGAATAATATATTAAAGGAGAAATCATGTTTGTTTAATATTGGTCAATAATTAATTAGGAATTAATTTTGTGATCAAGTGTAATTAATTAAACTAGAGGGGCTGAATTGTAATTATGTGATAGTTACAAAATAAGGTAAGGATTATCTTATTAATGGGTTGGACGGTTCTAAGGTGATAAGGCCTTAGAATTCGACTAGGATAAGGGTTTCTAAGACTTATCTTATGGTTACTTGGTGGGCAAGCAACTAGATAAGGATAAGGACTAAAACCCTAATCTTTAAACCTATATAAACCCCCTAAGGCTCATGAATTCGTCTATGCCATACCAAGAGGTCTTAAAGACGAATTCATATACCTCTCCTCTCTATTTATAACTTCTCC